CTGAAAGGGAAATTAGGACAGAGGGACCTTCCATGCATAACTATTCCACTATATCGGAGTTTGACAAAAATGCATGTCAAAAATAAAATATTCAATTTGTACGTTATTCCAATCCTAGCTAGCAGGCATCCCCTACACCAGTGTTTCTTGTCACTTTTCAGCCGCTAGTAATTGCATGGCATATGAAGCATGCTATGTAAGTGTGATAACACACACGCAAAAAAAAAAACTTTGGTAATTTGATTTAATATAAAAGATTAAGATTAATTATCTCTTCAGTAAAATTAATCTTGACTATTTATATAATTTATTATTAATATTCATTTTTCAAACCTGATACACACAAAATAAAGAAAAATGTTTAAAGTATCAATTTAAGAAGATATTAATTTTTAGCTGTCTTTTTGTATGTTAATTTTTTAAGTATAGTTTTGGAATGTGTATATAAAAAAGATTAAAAAAAAGCAAGTAAAAATATAAGAATAATAGCATATAATATCATAACAATTTTAATTTTTAGTAGTTTGAAACTGTAAATTAAATAACTTTTTGAATCTGGAGTTGAAATAGAAGGGGTCATGAGTGGTTTTACAAGACAAGCATGCCTGTCCTATCCTAAAGGTATTTTCGATTGGACTAAGTTAAATTGAATGAAGCTTTTAGCTGTGGGCCACCATATCACTGGATTAACAGAAAAATGAAATTTATACAAATAAAATTATGGCAAAATGTTCAGATAATCAGGTACAAGTCTTTTGAAAATACATTAGTATTATAACATTTTTAATAATAGTCCATATAATCCAATAATGAATCGGTGATGAGTGACAATACCTACGGCCATGAAATTATTGTGTTTTTGCTACTAAAATAAATGTACTAAAATTAGAGTTTTGGTCCATATTACTTGTTTTTAGAAAGTAAATGCTTGTGATCTTAAATTGAATTAAAAGACGGCCAGCTATCTATCTTCAATGCTAAAGCCAAACTCCCCATTTCACAGATAATAATTTATAATGCAAAGGACCCATTTTCATGGGCCACACGTTCACCCATAGAAGATCATATCATAGCCATCCATTCCCTTGTACATGGATCTTTGTTCAACCTCATACCCTTCTATTTAAAACCCCTCCACCCCGTGTGCTTTTCCGTCAGAATATATGTAACCATAGATTCACTTTGGACTTGCTCTCTTTAACCCTCACTCTAGTCTACATAGTCTCTTCTCTAAAACCCTTAGTCTCAGTTTATTAACATATCAAAAGTAGTTGCACCAAATACACAATTTTCTTTTCAGAATGAACAATCTTGGCTTGGCTGTTCTTCTACTTGCTCAGATCTTAGTGCTTAAAGCCATAGCCCAAGAGTCTGAGGCACGGGCACCACTCCCAGTGTTAAACCCTTTTGAGCATAAAACTCAAATAGGATTTCAGCTTCATGATCAAATGAATGATGAAGTTGAAGATCATCATAAAGTTTCTGGGGCTACTGAATCACCATTAGAGGAAGATGGAGAATCTAAAGCTGCTGAGGCTCCACAAATTCGAAGGCTTGGAAATGGAAAGCATCATTCAAAGGACAAGTCAGTAGCAGGTGGAGGTGTCATCATTGGTGGCCTTGTTACTGCCATATTTGCTGCTGTTTTTTGCTACATTCGGGTTACACGGAAAAGGGACACTCGTTACTAATCTAATCTAATATCTCTTTCCTTACTTTCAAAATATCTTTTTATTCTTTTCAATTCTTTTTTTTTTTCTTCCTTACAATTAGTGTGGGAAGTAAATAGTGAATGATATTGGAACACAGATATTGGCAAAAATTCAGTGACAGATATTTGTGGGGTAATTGTTTATATAAATATGTATTGTGAGTATAAGAATCTAACTCCTGTAAGAATATAAGCTCTTTCATCTCTCTCTACTGTGTTTCCTGTTCTGGTTTCACTGTTTAGGAAATAACAAATATAAGATCACATTTTATAATTAAAAATAAAAATAAAAAATTCTAATCAGACGATCCCTAATAACATTTACAAGAAATAACTTATTAAATATGTATATTAAGCTTGAGATGATGTCCAGGTGTATAATTGAGTTATAAAAATAAAACTTTTGAATGTAGCTTTATGATATTTGGTAAATGGAGGTTTTACTTTTATAATCAACATGGTCCATTTGTAATGATGTTCATATAGTAATCTCCTTGTTGAGGAGTGTTGTCCAGTAGGATTTCATGCCTTAGATAAGTAATGAAGGAGAGAACTATCTCATATTAAAAGAAAGCAGAGAATAATATGATGATCTTGACGTGTAGAAAACTATTTTCCTTTTTCTCTCGTTTTTTTAACGGTGTACAGAAATTAATTTTAGCAAAGCCGAATTTAAAAAAGAGAAAAAGGCGTTGTCCTCTGCATACAATAGATTATTTGTTCCCTTTGATTTTCATGAATTGTTTTAGTTGTTCAAGATGATGGGCAAGTATCCATTTCTACTTTCTAGCAAAGGTCGGTGGATCTAAAACCTTGCAATGTGAGCACTTGCTGGTTTGATTTTTCTTTTGGGAAGTATACAAGAAGATGCTAGCTAGTAGCTTAAAATAGATTAGCAAAAGAAGAGCTACCAAATGCTTCACAATTTGGAGAAGTTTAGTTAGGCATAGTCTACCGTATCATCTTGTCATTTCTTAATCACTTAAATGATTATTTGGTATGCATACAAAAAAAAAAAGGTTTAAAATGTGTGCGCTATTTTATCATGATTACAACTTTGCGTATGTCAAATTGATCATGAATTTAAATTTGAGTGTGACTGGCTAGGTGGCATGTGCTGCAGTAAGTGATCGCACTTTTAATTTAATTGATTGAAAAACACTACTCTTTAACTACCCTCGTCAAACCATACAGAAACCCAGCCTCATGATGTTGCCAGTTTCAATCGGTCCAAAAAGGAAAAAGAGAGTATGAACTAACTAATAGTTATTATACACACCCTTACAGGTAATTTTATCATTTAATTAGTATTAATTTTAATTCATTTATTGTTTTTCTTCACTCTTATTCTGCCACCTTGACGAGGGATGAAAATTATATATGTCCCAGCGGATATTCATAAAACTTAATAAAGTAATTATCAAATAAAAAAGCACTAGTATAACATGTTTACTCATCAAATGAGCTTTGTTTTGTTATTTTTTTAAATAATTTTTATATTACTTTATAAATTAAGTATTGAATGAAAAGTACATGGATGTATTATCTTAAAAATATTTAATATTTTTTATTTAATAATTAAGAAGAATTATAGGCACAAAGTATAAGGAAATTAAAAAATTTTCTTATAAAATAGAATTAGGACTTACGAGTACATATATGAATATCGCTTTTTTCTAGTTAAGTTAAAAACGTTTGTTTATAATACTATATAATTAGGACTTAAATAATCTGTGCATAATTTCTTTAATTAAATTAAATATTTTACTTTTAGTTAATACTCATTCTATTAATTTTTTATCATTAATATTAGTATTTTAAAAGTATTCAGGTCTTATTAATTTGTCAAACAAATATAAAATAACAGATGATATTTAAATTAACCAAAATATAAGTAATAAATCCGAGGACAAGTACACTGAACACGTAAGGAAGGATGCGTATATTGATGTTATTCACGCGAGAATAAGGATATGTTTTTAAAATGTGAATATAAAACCTGACATGTACCATCTTACCCATTGTCACGTATAACCTGGCAGATTTTTTTTCATTCGTCGATTGTACATTGTGCACAATTATTATGTATCGATTATGGATCTTATGGTAAAAACTGGGCAACGTGTCCACTGTCAAGCCTGAAGCCTAACCTACATGCCACCTCCAAAATCAAGAAAGCATCAAGTAATGGATAACTTGGCCACTTACCCACGCCAAAGACATATGCAAACAATTTTATTTTATTTTATCTCCCAGAGCATATCAATGTGCAATTCTTCTTTCTGGAGAAAAGGCATTCCCACATTAGAGATGCTACAAACTCTTTTTAATGTATAATCATTTAAATTTCACTCTTTCTTACCCTTAAATTAATATTTCTCTTTCATATTTTTATAATTTTCAAATCAAAAGTTAATGTGTGTTAAAAAGAGTATTAAAGAGTTTATTAGCAGCCGCACTTTAGTAACCAAATGCGAATAAAATGGGAATGAAAAAATCGACACACTAGGAAACTAAGAACATCTGCAAAAGAAGACATATCCAGCGATATCCTCATAAAATCTGGACCCCATGCACATTACGATTGGGGTTCCATCAAAAGAAAACCACACGTCAAGCTTCTGTAAAGCACAAAACTTCTGGATCTTTCAAATGATAGTACTTGCCCTTGCCACTCAGGATTAATCATCAGTCATGACCACATAAATCGTGCCATCGTGTTGAAAAGCTCAAGCACGATTCATTCACGAAGCCTTTCAACCGTATAATGCATGGGAATTTTTACAATACCAAATAAGTAGTAATTGACTTAAAAGTCTCAAAATGACACCTCAAAGTTCAGACCACACTTTGATCAAATATCCATGACATTTGGCTATAACTCGGGATTAATTCTTTAAAATGCAACTGGAACATACTGAAAATGGATTGATTGAATCATCATTTTATTCTAGTGTAACATACGAAAAAAAGATTTGGCAATTACCACATCAAAAAATTCCATCCACAAAAAGGAGCTTGTCTCGCACATAAACCACAAGGTCACACCAGAGGCTCATAACTAAATTACAAAACTGGAACTTTTGATGCATACCACAAACCAATTGGGATTAGAACAATCTATATAACAACAGAATCGAGTATGATGCACCAACAATTCATATGCTACAACTACTTAAGGATGCAATGAAAAAATCATAGCAATAACATTTTTTTCTTAAGCGAAGTTCCCTAATGCATACAACTTTGATAATAAAATAGATGATGAAGAAAAGAAAAACTAAGAACATCATTCTTATAACTTGCAAAAGAAATTAACAGAAGTTTAAGTACAAAATCAATCTCAATCAGAATCAGCTATAGTTAATAAAAGACACTTTCATCTATTTTACCTCAAGATCAACTATTATACATCTAGCAGAGCCCATACAACACAGATTCAAGTGTTGATTACAACACTCATTCACATAGCAAAACTTTTCTAACACTTTCAAGTGAAACAAAACAGACATTGGAATCAGATGATGCTGCAGTGAACAAAACCAAAAGGCAACAAAAATGTGCACAAAATCTATACAAGAAATCAAAAAAACAAATTTACATACATAAAAAATAATAAATAGAAACAAAATTGAAGATCTAAGGTACAATCAATCATGTTGAATTTTTTCTAGTTCTCATAAGAATACTAGTCATTCTCATTCCAACTACAGTAACATTGCTAGAACTAACAAGCCTCGAATTCCTAAACAAATCGACGACCTCTCTCACCTCATCAACTCCACACTCCGCGACGAGAACAAAGCACGCGCCGCCAGGCCTGACCACGCGCTCCATCTCGGAAGCAAAACGCGCCGGGAACAAAGCCTCGTCGAAGCGCGCGGTGAAGGCGAGATCGAAGGCGGCGTCGAAGAAGGGAAGGTTGTGCGGATCGGCGCGACTGACGAGGGGTGGTGAGTCGAGAAGCTCGACGCCGGTGACGTCGTCTACGCCGAGGGAGGAGAGAGCGGCGACCTCGTGGCCGGCGCCGGCGGAGACGCAGAGGACCTTGGAGTGGTTGCGGAGGAGAGAGAGATGACGGAAGAGGAGAGAGAATGAATTAACCTTGTTGTTCCAGTCGCGCGTGGACCAGAGGCGGAGGCTCTTCTTCTCGGCGGGGACGTGAGTGCGCGTGGAGAAGTCGCACGTGGACTTGGGGAAGCGGAGATGAGGCTTGGAAGGTGCGTCTGGGGGAACGCACGTGTCAGGGATTTGAAGGAAGAGGAAGAGGAGTGTGAGGGATGCTATTGCTATGGCCGCGCACGATAGCCTATTCAGGAACCTTTCTATTTCTCTATCCATTTTTATATTTTCATCTACCAAAACTGTTGATGCTTCTTCTTCATGTTTCCCTGTTCTTCTCATCTTCTTCCTTCTTCTTTTCTCTTCTCAATCTGATCTTTCTATTCAGTTATTATTTCATCCATTTTTAAATTTTTCTACATTTTTCTTATGACTATTATCTTACTAAGAAGAGCTTTATTTTTTGTTGTTTCAAGGTGTGTATTTGGGCCCCAGGCCCAAAGGCTCAAAATCATTGTTAGTTTTCACACCTTTCTAATTTTTTTATTTTTGGGTCCAAGAGGTGCAATGCCACAAATCACATGAATGTATTTACTAGCAGCGGTGTGTGCAACTTTTACAAGGACACCATTTTGACTCTATTTGTTGACCCCAAAAAACCAGTTTGAGTGTATTTTTTAAAGACTTTTTTTCCTATTTAGTAATTAAAATTAAAATTTATTTCAATAAAATATTCACATTTAATATTTAATTAATACACAGTATTTAAAAAATTGTATTTAAGTTTGGTATCTTTCACAATTGTTTCTGCCACTTAGAACGGAGGTGGGGCATATCGTTAATCTAATCGTATAAAAGGTGAAGCATATAAAATTTGATGCACATATTGTTTATTGTTCAATTATGCTGATGGCTTTAATAAGTGGATATATTTTCCTTTGGTGTATTAGTAATAGGGATAGATTTTGAAGCATTTAGATTGCACCTTCTGGTTTAGATGTATATGTTGTACTCCTTTACAGTACGGATAAATCAACCTTTGTTATATGAATACAACTTAGAGATCTAGATAATATTTTTTGTGCTATTTTTTTAATAAACAAGTATAGTAATAATAATTTTAAATGAGTGAATTGATTGACGATAAATGAAAATTCTGGTTGAGGGGATTAATTTAGTTTCGAGACTAAATTATGATTTACAATATTTGGTAGTGTGGAGTGATTGTGAACAAATTGAGCAGAAAGATTAACTTATTTTAAAAACTTGTTCCACCTAGCAGCTTTTTATATAATGTAAATTTAATCATTAAATCATATAATGTTTTATAATTAATATTTTTTTATGTTATAAAATATATATATTTTTTATGTTGAATAAAGCTGGCTAATAAATACTGATTCATTTTTAAATATTAAAATTTTATAGAACTAATCTAATCCACCTCTATATAAAATATGTAATCATAATTCTTAAAAGAGAATATTTTTAAAAATCTCATTAAATGAGACTAAGTTTAAGTATTAGTTACTTAAATTTTTCTCACTTTTTTAAATTTTAATTTTAATTTATATTTTAAAATTATATAACAAATTTTTTAATTCCAAAAGTCGTATCTCTTTAATTTAATCTTATTAACATAATAAAATATTTATTGTTTATTTTTATTCATTTTTAAATTTCTAAATTTTATTAAATTTATATAATATATTTTACAAATATTATTTAAATTAACAATACAATGCACGAAATTTAGTTATTAAAAATTCGCAATTCATCATAATTACTAAAATTTTAATATCTAAAAATAATAAACATAAAAATTGACAAGACTTAAATGCTAAATGGATTCCTGCCCCTATGTAAAAAAAAGTTCAGGAAAATTACACGTTAATATTTCATATTTTTAATGAGTTTAGATCCGAGTTTTTAGACTATTTTAATTGGTTTAGTGTTTCTCTTGACAACAGAATGTTTTTCAAATCCAAAACAAACTCTCCTATTTAGATGTGTTTACCTTTGAAAAGTTCAAAATCTAATTAATCAACAACAGAGTTGGAAACATACCCCAGAAAAATCACTGATATCGTCACATAACTGATGAAGAAGCAACCAAAGGGAGAGATTGTGCAATGGAAACAAGATCTGCAAAACGCAAGAAGATTGCCCAAATAGTAGAGAATGAAGCTAAAGCAGCCACGGATCGGATCAGTGATCTCCCTGATGATATTCTTCATCATATCCTTTTCTTACTTCCCATAAAATGTGTTGCACGAATGAGCATTCTTTCTAAGAGATGGAAATTTCTGTGGACCACTTTTCCTGACCTTGACTTCACAACTCTTAACCCATTTGAAACTTCTTCCAAAAATGTTAAATTTTCCAACTTTGAAAAACCAAGACACCCTTTGGATTCTACACGAATGGATTTCATTACCCAAGTTCTCTCTATCCGCGAAAAGCAATCAGACATTAGGGTTCTTTGTTTTCGTGCACGTTTGAGTTTTTCACGGTTAAATAGTTTGATGCGTAGTGCCATTAGGCATAATGTTAGAGAACTTGATATTGAAGTGGCCACAGAAGACGTGTTCACGGATGATTATTTCAACTTTCCCAGATGTGTTATTGGAAGTGAATCTTTAAGGGTTTTGAAATTGAAATCAGGTTTTCGTTTGCCTCCATCTTCAGTTATGAGAAGTGGGTTCCAATCTTTACAAACATTGTCTCTTTCCCTAGTCATTTTGACCAAACAACCTTCTCTCCCTGATTTGTTCTCTGAATCATCCTTTCCTCTTTTGAGAATTTTGCACCTTGATATGTGCTATGGGTTGAAATATCTTCATGTTGGATGTCGAGCTCTTGAAGATTTGAGCTTAGAAAAATGTTATCAGTTAGAAGTTTTGGATATCTCATGTGTTAAACTTGAAAGAATGAGATTAGTAAAGTGTTTTGATGCCTATAGTGACAAGAGTTGGGTAAGAATCAATGCACCCAAGCTTCAACATTTGTTTTGGCAACATAATGCCGTCACTGACAAGACTGTTTTTGAGCATTCAAATTTCTTGCATGAGGTCTCCGTTGGTTTCTTTATACTGGATAGAGATAGAAATACGGGTAAGCTTCAAAGTGCCACTAATTTTTTGTCTGGATTGTCTCATGTTCGTTCCTTGACTCTTGAAAGGCAAACTATTGAGGTAAAGTTCATGTTCTCTTTAAGAATGCATTGAAATGGTTGTCAATCACATATGAAACTTCTCAATATTCTACTGTCTTGTTCAGAAACAAATTTATAGAGTAATGATCAATTTATTGCCATTAATTAGGTAGGAATAATTGTGAACCTGTCTTATTGTAACTCTTCCAATAGGCTAATATTATAATTGGCGCTCTTAGTCTATAAATGCATGTGTATATGCTGCTCTAATATGGGGGGAAAAGTATTTAATCTTAAGAGTTGTAGAAAGTAACATTTAAAAATATCAAGGCATCTAAATTTTTTTATTCAGTGTGTAAAAATATTTTTAGAATAAGTAAAATTATTCTAATTAATTTATTAAAGGATATCAACATTTTACTTCGCAGTTACTGAACAAAAAAGTTTGAGTAATGTTATTTTAACGATAGATTCTTAGAAGACGTTACGCAACCAGGAGATGTATGCTAATAATTAATAATTTCTTCAATCTCTTTTATATTTTGCCTTTTCAATGTGAAATTAAAATAGATTTATAACCTTCCTCCCCTCCTTTGGCTGCAGATTCTATCAAATAATCACCTCCTTTTTCAGCCATTCTATAATCTTAAATCATTAGAGCTGCATACTGGATTCAACAAAAGTAATGTTCCGGGATTGGCATGCCTATTCAAGAACTCCCCCACTCTCAACAGTCTGATTCTCAAGATCCTTAACGAATTTAGGATTGAAAGAAAAGTAAGCTATAAAATGATTTTATTTACTATTATTTTAAGCATGCTCACCAAAACACACTTTCTGATTTCCCTCTTCATCCACTTTAGGAATGGAATAGGGACTTATGGGACATGACTATCACCGAGGGAGAGCTGTATTGGGAATCTCAGAGTCGAACTCTGGAATCTTTTCTACAACACTTGAAAGTGGTGAAAATTCATGGGTTTCTTGATTATGAAAATGAAGTTGCACTAGCAAAGTTTCTCCTCAAGTATGGGAAGGCCTTAGAAGAAATGATATTATATGCTGGACATTGCAATGCAAGAGATACCCTAAGGCGACAAAAAATAAGGTCGCAAATGATGGGATTTTCTTGGGCTTCTTCTAATGCAAAAGTGGCATTTCAATAGGCTTGTCAACAGCATATATGTTCTCAGAAAAACTTTACTTTTATTGACCAAAAGATAGAAGGAAAAACTTTACTTTTCCAATAATAGAATCTTATATTTATGGATAAAGCTGTTATTTTTTTTATTTAATACATCGATAGAAATTTAATGGCATTAACTATTTTCATCACCAAAAACAAACGCAAACTTACTTTAGTATAAATTTTTCTTAATCATAAATTTTTTACATCCCTATTTTATCACAATCTTTTACCCCTTTTTTTCCTGTTTTTTCTCTCATCTCCCACATCTCTAGTTGATTACACCTCACATAATAGCTATATGTGTATGTACAAACACAACAACAGTCAAAGAAAAGAGAATTCAACCAGCAAGAACACGACTCCAGTGAAAACTTAACATTGTTACCTAATTTTGTAATATACCTTTCTATTTAACAATTTTAATTTGCAAATTAGATTTCTTTGTCAAACTATTCAATATAATATTTTTAAATATTTTTGGTATTATTTAAAATAAAAATGTTTGTTTAATCATTAATATAATAATATAAATAAATTAAAAAATGACACTTTTATTTCTAATGGACGTTTTACATGTTATCCCACATATAAAATATTTTACACAATAAATAACTTATTTGTAACTCATCTATCCAATTATTTTATTTGATTTTCAATTATTTTATTTTTAAAAATATTAAAACTAAATGTTAATGAGGACATTTTTAAAAAAATAAAATTTTAATCATTTTACTTTATAATATATATATATATATATATATATATATATATAAAACTATCAGCACTTTCTAATACTTTGAGCAAACTCATATGTATTTTTCTTATACTTATTCTGATCATCCTTCCTGAATTATAATTAAGAGGACTGTAGCAACAGGATCTTTCACATTACAGGATTCATTAAAATGGCAAGTGCAAAATATACTTCTTTCACCTTTTAATTAAAACAAATAGTCATATATAAGACATACAATTTGTCTTATTTTTATAAAAAAAAATAATCAAAAGTTATACCAATCTTATAAAATTGCTTTGAAATTACACTAGTACGGTAAATTTATCGTCTTATACATTACAACACATGCAGCGTTCGTAATTTATTTTTGTATTTATCGTTTGCTAAAATCCTCACAATTGTTTTTTAAATTTTTTGAGATAACCCTGTAACATACATAAGAAACAAAGTTTTAATAAAAATATATTTAGGTTAACAATTATATTTGGTCACTCTTTTACCAAGATTAAAAAAAAATACTTAATTTGTTAGCAATATTAATAACCCCTTTATTTTTGAATGCTTATTTTTCTATGTATTATATACTTCTAAGGAATTAATTTGTTACATTTGATGATTTACTTTGCAAAATGTATTAATTATTTGTAATTTATTTTTATGATACGGTATTCCCAATAAATAATGAGTCAGAAAATTAATAGTTATAATATTTTGATAATTTTAATTAGCTTTTGACTGAATATCCCATAATTGAGATAGTAATCCCTTAAGATAGGGATATCAATTGAATATTTTTTAAATGATTATTTTAATATTCAAACCCTTAATATTAATTATATATACAATACACTTAATTTTTTTATTTTTTAGTTTAGATTAAGTGTAAGTATATTTTATAGGAGATGTATTTAAATCGATAATATTCGCATTATGATAAATTAGTACTTCAAGAAAAAAAAATGTTATAATAAATTCAATTTAAATTTAAGCCACTAATTAAAAAAATAGAACATATATACCACTTCAACAAGTCTATATATATATATATATATATATATATATATATATATATATAGAGAGAGAGAGAGAGAGAGAGAGAGAGAGAGCTGGCATCAGAGCAAAAGAACATAGCTGGCAAACATAAGCAGGACAAAATTAGGTGCCAACCCAATCATCATTTATATGCACTGAACTTTGCCATCAGAGTGTGATAAATTGATAATACGTTCCAGGCACTAAGCGTGCAACAGTTGACTAAAAGACTTGTTTTTTTTTTTTTTTAAGTTAAATAAATTAATTTTAAATTATTCAATAATTAAGATATCTAGCGAAATTAAGTTTTTTTTTAACTTCACTTTTTTGCATTAAAATTATAAATAAATAAATAAATGTTTTAAAATAAATGCTTAGTATGTTAGATAGTTAAACTTAGGTTGGGCTGAGGTTAATATTTAAAAAATAATAATAATGTATGTATCTATCTAGCGAAAAAAAATTTATATAAATAAAAAATATTAATCAAGATCATATGATAATGTATGATTTTTCATAATTATAGCATTTGAAAAATAACATAAAAAATGCATTAATTTATATGTTTTAATTATGATCATTTATGATGAACATAATAATCAAAGCTTGTTTTTCTCACTCTCTAACGTGAATAATAATAATAATAATAATAATAATAATAACATCTCTCACTAACTTACAAACCCTGACTCGGTTGTAATAAGGACGTGGATAGATAAAAATTCTGAGTCTGTTTTAAAAAAATGTATATTAAGATAATGATAAGTTCCTTTCACAAAATTAGTGTTTAAGATCGAGACGCATAGAATTTTGATTTGGTACATGTATTGTGCCTTATATTGGGAGAATGGTGAGGGGAAAAAGTTGCGGAAAAGAAAAAGAAAAGAAAAGAACTGAGCCTACTTGGCAAACCCAAATTGTAGTCTTTCATTACTCATCTGCATATTTACTATGGCCCATCAACGTCGAGTAAAGTCCCCCCCCCGACATTGGGAACTGTGACATTTCAACTAGAATTCTGCTTAAGCCTTTTAATTTATAATTCAATTTTCCAAATTGCACCTCATCATTTTGTTACTGAATTGAGGTGATTCAAAGTGACTTGCTATTCCCCCATGCAATATATTATAAGATACTACATAATGATGATTCTTCTAAAGCTTGATTACTAGGCAGATATTTTGTCCACAAGTAATTAATTGCAAAGTAGCTTATTAAGACTCCTTATATAAAAGATCTCACACTAGATTGGATAAATAAAAGCTTCAAAGATTACAATGGATCTTGATGGCTTTCCTATACGAGTTAATCTAATAAATCACAGTTAAAGCTAATTCCTCTCAAACTATACTAGTGGTTGACTACTAGTATTATTATTTTAAATCAAGGGTACCACTTCTTATGAGCAGGAACCCACTTTGGACATTTTGGACTGAAGTAATTGGAAACTGTCTTGGAATTAAGAAGATCAACAATGGGAAAATATTTCACGCAACGAGGTGTTTTATACTGATTTATGGAAGCACCCTGGCTAAGAGCGAAATCCATAAGCTTGTCAAATGTTCCATTCTCAACTATCTTGATTTCCAATGGTCCAATGGACTCTGATACCCTACCTTGGCGATACACGCTATTGAGAGACCCTTCAACCACAAAACAACACTCTTCAAAGACTGAAGCAGGAATTAGGGTTTGGCCATTATCAATCATGCTAATCTCCCAGTACAATACGTAGTGGCCTGGGATAGTGGATGTGTTGACACAGCTTGTGTATTCTGTGAGGGATGCTCCAAATTGTGCTAGATGGTTAGCTCCATTCTTCACAGCATTTTGTAGCTCAACTTCATCTGTCTTGTCAGAATCAATGCTCAAAATCACATTCTTGCGGCATATAAAGTTAAATTGAGGAGCCTTATTCTTGAATCCTGCTACACGGAGTATATCACCAACCCGGTACCTATAAAGGCCTGTGTTTGGATCATGCACGGTAGAATAGTTAACTATTAGAAGTTAATAATGAAATCAAATAAAATTTACATTTTGGACTAGTTTTTCAATACTTATCTAAAAGTTTAAGCAAATTAGGCCATTAATTTAAAAAAATAGCAATGTTATTTAGTAAAAATGCTTTGTCTTTGAAGTTAATGATTCTTAAATCTATCACTATCCTGAAAGTGATCAGTACATTAGTGGAGAGGAATAATAAAGTTATTTTAGAAAAGAAAAACTTGACTTTCGTGTGTCTGACATAAAACTGATTTCGTTTTCATGCCAATCAGCATTTTTCTAAAAACAATAATAGTCTTTTCTGAAATTAAACAGAATTGGAACTTTACCTGCATAAGTGGTGACCACAAGCTCATATTCCTGACCCAACTCTACATCTACGAGATCAACCAAATGTTCTTGCTCTGAGTGAGAAACTGAATTGGTGTGTCCATTTATCTCATTAAGGGGCAAGAACTCAAAGTAGGCCATGGTGGGAATGAGGGTGTAAGACACCTCACTTGGTTCACATAAAGGGTTTAAGTTGAGGCCAAAATAACACTCAGAGGAAGCATACATGGTACACACAAGAGGGAGACCATTGCTATAGTAATCCAATGTTGGAATATACTGAGACATAGTTCCAGTGACAATAACATCAACATACTTAGTGTTGGGCCATAACCTAGTAATAATCCCCTTCCAAGAACCCTTCTTGCATTCAGCTTCTATGAAATCCGCAAGCTTTGGATTTGGCTTGAGTATTTCCATGATGGCATCTCTCACGGATGAGTCAGTGATTTCAGGGTTTATGTTCCCATTTCTAATGTCATTACACAAACAAAGCCAATGCTTTTCGAGGAACTTGATGGCACGGATGAAACCGGAAGCAAAAACAGCACCAACACGAAGAACTTGGTGGTTTTGATAAAGGCCACAAAGCAACTGAGAATACATGCTTTGATAAGAATCTAAGCAGAGAATGGTCTCAATGGGGCTAGTGTAGTTTGTGTAAGGATCATGACCATGTGTGCGATTCTTGAAGTGTGAACTTTTGTAGTAGCTTGTTAAAACTGGACGAGCTAGGAGTCCCCCTGGGGTCTTGGCTTCTGATTTTATGAACAAAAAGTACATGCCTTTGCCCTTGTCCAAATTGGGTACAAATTGATCCATCACTGGCATCAAGAGGCTATAAAGTAATGACCTCCTCTTTAGCTCATCTTCTATGGTTGGCATCAATTTTCTCTCCCCACCAGATGTTCCAGAGCTATATACATTAAATTAATATATCATCAGTGATCTATCATACATCGGTTACTCTTAATTTCACAATATATCATGCATATTCCAAACATAACTTTTTTCACTTTACTTTTTTCTTTTACGTTTCTTTCACATTCGTACAGAAAAATGCTCTCTTGTGCTCTTTCACTGTCTAACGTTAACTCTAGCTTTTTTTAAAAAAATATATAAATGAATGTAAAATAATTAATTTGTTTAAAAATATGTAATATTATTATGGTTCTTGCTTGCATTAACACCGCATCATTATTATCACATGCAGTTTTTTTATATCTCAATTTTTGTATTTACTTTACACTTTTCTTTATTTATCTTTCCGTTTGTATACATTCCTTGGGATGAAAAATATTTTTGTTACTACAAAATGTAGGTCGAGTGTATGATTTTCAAGTGTATGATGATGATGATGAAAGAAATTGAGGTTGAAAATTAAAGTTTGTAATATTTTCACACTCAATGTAAATGAACGTGACTTAGGTGGAGGGAAAAAAAGAAAGAAAGAGATATAACAAGAAAAAAGGTGGTAAATAAATAGAGGTAAAACTATATACATAAAAAATATAATAATTATTTATAATATAATTAGATACTGACCTAGTGAGGAACTCAGATATTGGTTTGGAACATAAAATTGGGGAGGTATCACCATTTGCTATGCGATCAATATCTGGTTTTAAATCCTCGTAGGTCACCAAAGGCATGATCTTCTTGAACGTGTCTCTGTCTGTGTGCCCATCTAAGCCATGACGTTGAAGGTACTCAACGTGTGCACTGGAAGAAAGGATCTCGGCAAGGACCCTTTCTTGAATTTCATCAGTGTTGCTGGTAACGTCCTCAATGTATTTCAGTGCTTTAGTGTTGTTGTCCTTGATGACGTTAGTATTACTACCATCATCATCAAGCTGTCCATTTGGCTTGCTGCATAGATGGTAGTGGTTTGGAGCCTCAGGCATGGCTATAGATAAGATATATGAGTGTGTAATGATAACTAAGTGTGTAATGTTGTTTATGGGAATTGGAAATGGAATTGAAATTGAATTAATAGGCAAGAATATTGTAGTGGAGAGCTGACTTTGGAATTTGGACTTGGAGGAGTAGTGGGTTGGAAAGCAAATCCAATAGAAAGGACATATATAGGGAGAAAGCGAAGGTGGTGACTTGTGACTTGAGAGTTGAGAGTTGAGAGTTGAGAGTATGTTTGGAAGAGCAATAAAAAAGAAAAGGAAAAGTATTTTTTTTATTTATTTGGATACGTAAAATAATAAATAAATTATATCAAAAATACTTTAAGGTAATAAAAAATTAATTTGGTAAAATTAATAAAATTTTCAAAGTATATTTTTCTATTAAATTATTTTTTTAGTATGTTATATTATTTTAAAAATTATTCAATATTAAAAGATTAAAATAAAAAAGGAAAGAAAATTCAGTCATTCATCATCCATTAATACTGTTCATTTTACAGGTAACAAAGGAAAAATAATTATAAATATAATCTTTTTTTTATTTTTCTTTTCTTCTTGCTAAAAAATATATAATATTTAAACAAATAAAAAATATCTTTCTACAAAAAAAAAAAATTTCTCAGTTTTCTTAAATTATTTCATTCCAAACAAAGCATGACAGTCCATCAAAATAAATTAAAAGATGAAACAGTAAACTTAAAAATGCCATATTCAAGAAGGTTCGTACGAGGGGTAGGGTTAAATTTTTCATATCAACAAATTAGAGCAACCGTTATTTTCTTAATTAAAATTAAAATTTATCTAATTGAATAAAATATTTGTTAAAATGACATAATAAATCTCTATTCATATATGTCATGACTATATAGCATATTTTTTTATGGAATATTTTTATCTTTTATATTTTTAATCTTACATCATTTATCATAATTGTTTTCATCTCTCATAAAAAAAAATATCAACCATCTTTCCACTTCCATATACATCACATCAACGGTACTATATTCCTAACATTTGAGGTATAAGATTAAATTTTCTTATTAGGTAGGAAGGGGAAAGCTAACTCTAGGTTTTGAATTATGGCTATTACAAAGTTAAAGAAATTAAGGTTATTTCAAGGAAAAGGAAAATTTTCTTATATTTTAAAAATAATATTCGTATAACATATTTTACAATATTATTTTTAATTTTTACATTTGATAATTTTTTCTATATGTGGTCTTTTTAAATATCTCTTGTAATTGTATAGATTTTTTTTATTGAGTTGCATTGAATAAAAATGTTTTTGTGCTGTTAATGGGTGAAGGGGAAAATGAGGGGGAAAAAAGTGAAGAAAAGAGGAAAACAAGAGATGCAAATTCCAGAAATGGATACACGCGTGCATGTACTCCGCCGCTTGTTTGCAAAACGACATCTACTTCCCTAACTTCATTCTACTTCCCTAACTTCATTCTACTTCTACGGCCATGCACAACTTTCTACTTCACCGGCCATGCACAACTTTCTACTTCACCGCCTTCATCTTAGAAAATATTAAATATATAAATTTTACATTTGAAAAAACATCAATTTACCAACAAAATATAATCTTATTTCATAGACTAATTTAACGGGGGCATCTGTGGTTGATTTATGTACTCCTAATTCTAACTTTTTTTAGTTAATATATAAGTGATAGAAAAATATTTTTTGAGGAATTTTTTTATTTCTTTTTTATAAGTTTTTAAAATTTGTGTATACAAGAAATTAAAATTAAGCGATAAAATATAATTATATAAATATTATATGTAATGTTATGTTCTAGTCGTGAATAACAAATTTATAAGTAAAATAAATAATCGTCAATTTTTACTGAAATTTGTAATAACATGGACGTCTTATTTCTTGAGATATGGGAACTTTATTTTTATTTTAATTATTTCAATAAAAAGGGAAAATTCCTTGGTACTTACATTTTTGTGATGCTTTTTGAATTTTGCAAGTAGTTCGATAATTCTTCATGTAAATTTTCAAAATAAAAATTTCAGTGCAAATGATGTATAACAATCAAGAACATAAAGAGAACATAAAAGCTAGAAAACTAATGAATATACATTATCACTCATAATTCTTGCAAAGAATAATAGCTTGTCTTAGCTTTATCGTAAAAAAAAGGGGGAAAAAAACAAAGTTCTTAGAAGATAACTAATTTTCAATTTTTTATGTGATATTTTATTTTTATAATTTAATCGATTAATTAATTATATTTTAATTTAAAAATAATGAAAAATAGACGCAATTTTAAAAATTGTGAAAAAATGTAAACACTAAAAATTATCTTTCTTTTTTATTTTGTGTGTAAAAATAGAAGAGTAACTTTTGGCACATTAGAAAATATAAGTAGATTTATCTCAATTTATCTTACGAAATATTGATCGATATACATCTTCAGGTTATAATAGTAATCACACACGAGGGAGGATAAAATTTACTTAACATCCATGTAAATTAAATTTTCTCTTTCGGGTTTCAAAATCTCATAAAGCAACATTAATTTTTAGTAGGTTAAAATTAATATACAATTTAAATAAAATCAAAAGTGAAGATATCATAATTTGCTCACTGCTATGGTGAAAGATAGTGGGCAGAATAATGCGGTTAGACATAGTAAACATGTAACACAGATTACTTTGCAGTTTAGAGACAATTAATAATAATACATGTAGTAGACAAAGAGTTTTAGGGGTAGGTAGATTTTGGGTGAATCTCTTTATTTTTGACTTTTCTTTCTTTCTAATATTAATTAATTAGAGAAATTCTTCTTTTATATGCTTTCTACATATTTATACTTTGCTGGTAGGAATTGAATTGAGGGAACCATTACACTCACTGTGAAAACAAGTTCATGTTAAAGAGCCGACATAGTTTCTAATGTAAAGTGATAAATCATTAAGTAATTTGGAAACGTTTGAGATATATATCAGTTGAATTATTCCGGGGAGTTTGGAATGATAGTGTAGTATAGGAGACGTGTTATCTTTTACAAAATATTTAGAGAAAATGACAAATGCGATGCATATTTCTATATGTAGAAAAAACTTATTGGTGAAATAGAACAGAGAGGTGGCATGCTTCTAAAGTGAGTTTGCTTTTTCCTAAAAGACTTATGAGTCACTCTAATTGCCTAACAATCCAATTCATTCGACACCTGCATGCACAGAATGAAATGAATGTAATTTACTTTTTCAATCAACATTGCGATATGATGAAGATGAAGCCTTTAATTGGCACCTGGCTCCACAATCAAAGTTGAATTTTTAGTTGCTCAATTATCTTCGAGCAGCCATCATGATTATGCACATCCCACTCTCCCACTCAGTGATGGGTTACTTCACTGTCTCCATCCCTAGCTTTTGGTTTTTATATATACACTTATTTAGTAAGTTCAATTTTTTTTTATATATATTTTTATGTACTCCACACGTCTACTTATTACCTAGGATGTTTAAAATTAGTTAACTTTTTAAATTTAAATATAATTATATGCACAAACTGGCGTTAGTTCTAATTATAAAGAAATTAAACTTGTGCTAGAAAACACTTACAATATATATATAGAGGAAGAGCTAGGATTAAAGTAAAATGAGTTTTAAATTTTTTAAACTATTTATAAATTAATTATTAATATGTACGGAAATTTTATAATAAAACAAAATGATGTGGAGTTTTGAGGTTGGATAAATATGGATACAGGACAGGATCTGAGATACGAACTTTAATGTATTTGCATGATATTATGGAGAGGTATGATTGTTTATTACTTGCACGTCTTTCAATAGTAAGGGATAAGATCAATAATGGTTTTTAAAGTTTTAAATGTTGGAGTAAGATTTTTTATTTTTTTATTTAATTATAAATGTATACCGATTTCAGCTTCATATTATCCACAGAAAGGCCACTAAAATTTCCTTCATTTTAACACGCCATATCAATAAGTCAGGAAATTTCCAGTTTCCTTAATTATTTTAATTAATATTTAAATTTATTTAACAATATATTATATTTTATGAGTTTTAATATATTTTAAAAATAATTATACTCAACTTTACTTTTTTTTCTATTTACAAGTGAACTTATTATGATATATAAGTGGCGTGCTGAATACTCTTGAATTTGAGTACCTTCATTTACAGATAATTTAATATTTTTTAAATGTGATGTATTTTATTTAACTTATTTCAACTTTAAATTCATTTTGGAAGTTACATTCAGCTTCAGCATTATTTTATTGATAAAAAATATATTTAAATAAAGTTAGTTTATGAAGCTACGATATAATTTTAAGAAGATATTGAACTTGAAATATTCATTATTAAAAAATAAAATTCTTTGCTATTCCAGCAATATTGATGAATCTCATAATACATATGGTTTCATTAAACTGTAGCTTAGGAAGGAAATTATACTACACTATTCTTTTCTATAGTAAACGTGGCGTAGATTTGTCTATAATTATTTTCTTAAACTTGCCGGCATAAGTTTATTTTCAATTGAACAATTTCTCAAACAAGATGAACAAATAAAAAAATTGAAAAATACTTACTAACATTCTTTATAAGCATCTTTAACTAAATTACACAGATTAGTAAAAGTAATTAAAAATAAATAAATTTTTAAAAATATTATAATATAATAAAATTTTTATTTAATACTATTAAACTTAATTCAATTGTCAACTTTTACATTTCTTAATTTTAATTTAAAATTTCACTTCTATTAAGAATAAATAAATAAAACTTGAATTAATTTCTAAAAATATTATATCTTTTGATTTTAAATCTTATAAAATTTTTAATTGATTTTACTCTCTAAAAATAAAAAAATTTTGATTTTAATCTTTAATGAATGACTAAAATAATGTGTTTTCTTATTAAATATATAAATTAAAAATGAAGAAAATATTTACAAAAAAATAAAATTAAAAGGCATGATATTTTTAAAGACTAAAA